TATACTCAGGTTTGCGATACTGCGGCGATTTATTACCTGGCTGCGGCCACTACAGCAGTTTATGACAGGGTTGAAACTTTAACATCTTGGCTGCACGGTCCTTAGATGGCGTGATACTGCAGCCCAGCTTTGCTCTTCAGGTTCGGTCAGACTCGGCACCAGTGCGGTGCAGGCTATTCAGGTTCGGGATAGTACGGCATGTTGCTCGCCCCTATGTGGCAGCAGGTCCGTGGTCCCTATTTCTCAATGATTGTTTTAGTCCGGCCCCAGAACCAGCGGAATCGGCTACTGCAGTGGGAACAGACATTCAGGCGCAACTGACCATCGAATTAACTGAGAACTGACCCGGCTGTGACGTTGTGAGGAAACCCGGGGAGCTGGACGCCTGCCGCTCGCTGAAGCCAAGGGCAACAACGTCTGTCACCCGCTGCGCCCACTTCGGAGGTCCTCAGCGATCGACAGGGAGTGGGATTCAAACTTGCCTATCAAATTCCCACTCGGAGACTGAGCTCTGAGATCTTTTGCAATCGGACCGATAATGATGATAATAAAAAAATAATAATGAAGTAATAATAACAATAATAATTATACTCCCTCCTATTCCCGTGTCTCTGCACTGCAAACACTAGAAGTGGTTCGAGGACACTATGCCATCCGATTCAAGCTGTAGAGTAGAAACCACTTTCGCTATTCATCCGCATTGAAGGGACCAAATAGTAAGGCGTCAACAGTTGTTCGAAGATCCCGACGGTCAATATGTCTGCCTTGATGTAACCCTGCTGATGAACAGCTAATGCCAGATCTGTCAATAATCAGCCAGTGCATGTTCTGCTAACGAGCTGTYAGTGCCTCATCGGCCAATGAGCGACACATAACTGGTCGGTTAATGAGGAATGAGTGTTTGATCCGCTGATGAGCAGCAAATGCTTGATCTGCCAATCAGCAGCCCGCGCTTGATCTGTCAATGAGGAGTAAGTGTTTGATCTGCCGATGAGCAGCCAAATCCTGATCTGCCAATAAGCAGCCCGTGCTTGATCTGTCAATGAGGAATGACTGTTTGACCTGCCGATGAGCAGCCAATGCTTAATCTGCCAGTAAGCAACCCGTGCTTGATCTGCCCATGAGGAATGACTGTTTGACCTGCCGATGAGMAGTCAATGCTTAATCTGCCAGTAAGCAACCCGTGCTTGATCTGCCCATGAGGAATGACTGTTTGACCTGCGGATGAGCAGCCAAAGCCTGATTCTGCCAATAAGCAGCCAGTGCTTGATCTGCCAATGACCACTAGGAAACTGATATGGCTATCAACAGCATCGAAGTCACCTAAACTCTTGTGCTTGTGTCCGTCCAAACGTCTTCACATTCCTGATGGATGATCATGACCAGGTGTTTTTCGCTAATGGCTCACTCGAGAGTTTAGTTCCATAGATCTTCTTTTCTCGGTGGTCTTCCCAAGCCCGTT